GCTAACAGTAGAAATGAGAAAATAACAGACCTGTAGCAAGCACCCTGCAGAGCTGGGACCAGCGTCGCTGTAGTAAACACACTGGAGACGGATGCGCTCGGGAACGACAGCCTGAAATCCTCCGCGAGCGGATTCGTAAACAGTACAGGTCGGGTATGCTCATGAACGGTGGCCCGTATTCCGTGTGAATGGTGACTGAAGTCGGATGGTGTTAGGTGAGGGGGGGGGATAGGGAAGGGGGATAGGACGTAGAGGGATGTGGGAGTTGAGGAGTGGATCAGGTGTCACCGCAGCCAGTCTGCCTGCCACCTGCCAGTCAAAATCAACCCACCCTACCTGCCCGCCAGTCAGCCACAAGTCTATCCATCCACCCAGCTCGCCTGCCCATGATTTATACCCACCCCCTCCTGCCTTCCACCCATCCACCAATCGATCCACCCACCCTGCCCGGCTAATAGCCAGCCAGTCCACCTGCCCGCCCACTAGCCAGCCAGTCCATCTGCCATCCCCCCACTCCTGTCTGCCAGTCAGCCAGCCAGCCAGTTACCTATTCATCCATCTACCAAACCTGGAGAGCGTTTAGTAACACAGTATTAGTAACAGTATCAGTAACACCATTCACGTTAATAATTTGGCTTGCTTTCAATATTTTATTATTAGCAACGATATTTGTGCCTAGTGAACTTACCCAGTCTGCTCGTCCGGCCCCCCTAGCCTACGGTGCTTGGTCTGCCATCCGTAAAACAAGAGCATTACACGCAGGCCATTTTGTTGATACATTTAAACATTAAAAAAATGCGTCTTTTACGCCGGCAAATACGGTAATCTAACCTAACATATGTTCTACCCGAATTGTGCTAACTCTCGAATATAATCCCATTTACAAAACCAATTCCATAAATTATAAATCAGACGCATTCCACACAACAGCAACAGTCAGCTAACATCGTCTACACAACAGCCACTTTTGACGCCAGACGTCAAATCGAACTCAAATGTTTGTTTTCGACGTCATCCTTGAAAGCTGGCGAACACAACAACTTTCAAGGACTGGCGCACATATCGCCTTGGATCACAGGATTGTTGATATATTTTGAACGTTTTCTGGCTGGTTCTCCCTTGATGGTGTCCGGCGCCAGCTTGGCCGAGAGGTGCCGGGAGTTGGTGGGTCTTGGTGGGTTCTTGGTGGGCCCTTAGCCGTGGTGGGCTCCTGCTGTGCCCTTAGCCGTGGTGGGCTCCTGGTGTGGGCTCGTCAGCCGTGGTGGGCTCCTGCTGTGCCCTTAGCCGTGGTGGGCTCCTGCCGTCAGTGGGCTCCTGGTGTGCCCTGCCGTGGTGGGCTCCTGCTGTGCCCTTAGCCGTGGTGGGCTCCTGGTGTGCCGTCAGCCGTGGTGGGCTCCTGGTGTGCCCTTAGCCGTGGTGGGCTCCTGGTGTGCCGTCAGCCGTGGCGGGCTCCTGGTGTGCCGTCAGCCGTGGTGGGCTCCTGGTGTGCCGTCAGCCGTGGTGGGCTCCTGGTGTGCCGTCAGCCGTGGTGGGCTCCTGGTGTGCCGTCAGCAGTGGCGGGCTCCTGGTGCGCCCTTAGCCGTGGTGGGCTCCTGGTGTGCCCTTAGCCGTGGTGGGCGGCTGGCATCTGCTCTGCTAGGGGGCCACTGGATGACTTTTTGCGCTTTAGTTGGGGGCTGAGATTTTGGTTTTGCTACCTGGTGTTCTCTGTGTGGGGGCGGGGGCCGGTGCTTGTCACCCTGAGGGACTCCTGGGGCTCCCCAATCATCTTCCTGATTGCGTTTCTCTTGTGTCGCGAGGTCCTGGGCCTCCCCAGTGTTCTCTGTGTGGGGCGGGGGCCGGTGCTTGTCAAGTGTCTGGTGATACGCGTCGTCGTTTCGCCATTAGGATTTGCGTACCTATATGGGTACGCCGGGGCGCATTCGATCCCACGATCGTCGTCGCCTTTAAATCAACAACTTTCAAGCCTTGCCAAATTAAGAACATTGATGCGCCGCTTTGAGTGACGCGTCTCCCAACATACGCGGTCTGTTATATATATCTAGCCGTTTATATAATATATATATGCACACACACGGGTGGAGATGTCTTCCTCGGCCATCTCAGACTACCAACAGGAGTCAGAAGGCGTCTTACTCCTGTACCCACCTGTTTAAAACTAAAACAAACAAAAAATGTTATATAGAGAGAATGTGCACAACTGTATCTGAAATTGTGTAGATTGCACATGTTTGGAAGAATATTTACATTACTTGCACCTAATGGTGCAATAACAAGAGGTTCATAATTGCCTTCTCAAACAATTACAGTACAATATGTGCAGAAACCAGTACCCCGCCCACAAGTGGATGAGGCTGCTAAACCAGGCGTTGAGTGTACTGATCTTTCTCGATGCTACATAGCCTCTTCCCCCCGGCTTGGCGCCTTCTTGTGAAAATATTAACTTACTTAACCGTTCTCAAGACTAAAGAAGCACGACAGATCAAGCCAGGTGATGTCAAGCAGCCAGGTGATGTCCAGCAGCCAGGTGATGTCCAGCAGCCAGGTGATGTCAAGCAGCCAGGTGATGTCCAGCAGCCAGGTGATGTCCAGCAGCCAGGTGATGTCCAGCAGCCAGGTGATGTCAAGCAGCCATGCGTGGCCGTGGCTGCTACTAGAGTTTGATGCGGGCAATCATTCTGGACCAACACATCCCTGCTTCCTCTCGCCCGCCTTCCGAGGCCACACTCTCTCATTTTGAGAGGTTTATATTGCTTCCAGACGAGGAACATGCAAGCGGCCCTTGTTTGTCCCATACCAGGGCCTGATTACATTCACCTCTCTCTCTCTCTCTCTCTCTCTCTCTCTCTCTCTCTCTCTCTCTCTCTCTCTCTCTCTCTCTCTCTCTCTCTCTCTCTCTCTCTCTCTCTCTCTCTCTCTCTCTCTCTCTCTCTCTCTCTCTCTCTCTCTCTCTCTCTCTCTCTCTCTCTCTCTCTCTCTCTCTCTCTCTCTCTCTCTCTCTCTCTCTCTCTCTCTCTCTCTCTCTCTCTCTCTCTCTCTCTCTCTCTCTCTCTCTCTCTCTCTCTCTCTCTCACATTGCACCTTCGGGTGTAAATAAGAGAAAGAGAGACGAATGTATAGACAAAGTTCATATGTAGACTCAAATAAATATTAATACGTTACAATGACATCTTTACTCGTATATGAAGTGAATAAGAACAATATCAAAAGAATAGACAAGATAATGAGAGACGATAAAGAGTAAAATCAACAACCGCTGGACTAATCTCGTTAAGTCACTCCTCAAACAAAGGCGGAGTGAAGGTGTCAAGAGTGACAGGTTCAAAAACATGTTATGACGCAACTCAAGAGGATGGCCGAGCACATTGAACGTGATGTATCGATGGGAAGTTATTGAGTCCGTACTGTGGTCTAGGAGTCGCATATTCCTTCGGTTAGTAGCTCGTGTGTCTGGCGAATCCAGAAACGCATGTTTGATTCCCTTGTATGACTTCAATATTTTCTCAGATACATATAAATAATATATATATATATATATATATATATATATATATATATATATATATATATATATATATATATATATATATATATATATATATATATATATGAATTTTGGAGAATTGATTTTTCAATTACCATCAACAGTGAAAAGTAACATAAGAAAGATCGAGAAAATTCGTGTTAGAATTATTAATCTGACTTTTTCGGTCATATTTAATAATATATGTCTACAGGAAAGATTGCTACCAAAATATACTAATATATATATATATATATATATATATATGTCGTACCTAATAGCCAGAACGCACTTCTATGCCTACTATTCAAGGCCCGATTTGCCTAATAAGCCAAGTTTTCATGAATTAATATATTTTCTCTAATTTTTTTCTTATGAAATGATAAAGCTACCCATTTCATTATGTATGAGGTCAATTTTTTTTATTGGAGTTAAAAATAACGTAGATATATGACCGAACCTAACCAACCCTACCTAACCTAACCTAACCTATCTTTATAGGTAAGGTTAGGTTAGGTAGCCGAAAAAGGTAGGTTAGGTTAGGTTAGGTAGGTTAGGTAGTCGAAAAACAATTAATTCATGAAAACTTGGCTTATTAGGCAAATCGGGCCTTGAATAGTAGGCATAGAAGTGCGTTCTGGCTATTAGGTACGACATATATATATATATATATATATATATATATATATATATATATATATATATATATATATATATATATATATATATATATATCTCACCACAGAAGCAGTGATGAAGGATAATATAGCCAATGACGACGGAGGGGAGTGTGGTATAAGGAAGCACCATTGTATTAGATGACAAGCAGCTGAAAAGGCGAGACCCAAGAGCAAGAGCCCGGTCCTGCTACATAACTCACCCACCTGGGGAACAAAGGAGTGAACGAACGGTTGGGCAGCAACTCAGAAATAACATATCTTGATCTGTACCGTAATCTAAAGTGCTCCCAGTAGATAAGCGTCGGTGTAGATCAAACATCTTGTGTGATCCCCGTAGACAGTGTACTTACAGGTAGTGAGACACAAGCCACATCGTACACCAGACGGACGATGCAGTTTTATTCTACCACAACCTAACCGAATCCAAGTCCACTCAACCTAACACAACCGAGCTCCTAATATAGCCTAATCTAGGCAAATACATACGGGAATTCCGGGTTTGAATCTCGAGTGGGACAGAAACGGCTAATTTGGAGCGCTTCCTATCACCTAAAGGGCCTCCTGTTCACCCCAGCAGTAAATGGGTACCTACGGATTAGCTTGTTATGGGGGTTGCATCCTGGGAAGAGCCAGTAATTTGACCTTGAATGGGGGGGACCTTGATATGACCCTAACATGTATAAATATGAGTGTGTATATACACTACCTGCCTGTCCCACGACACAATGACCTATCCAAATTATAATATGAAGTCCATGGGTTAGTCTCCAGTGCGCTATGACCATACCCCCGAGCGAGGCCCGGAGGTGCGTGGCGCCAGCTGCGCACGGACCATGACGTGTCCTTCAGTACCCATTACGGAGCCATCAGACGGTCGACACTGCCCTCCCGTCGGCCACTCGACCGTCAGCCTCGCCGAGACGCTGACTGATGTCACTGCTGGTCCACCAGGTTGGTCTTGTGTTGGGCGTCAGGTCTGTCAGCCACTGTTTGTGTTATTAGGGCACCACAACAGCTTATTGACCAACTTAGCAAATGTCGCGTGACTTAATATTTAACAGTCCAGGACTCGATTAGATTCTCAGTGTATGTACACAGTGTGTGTACACCAGTGTATGTACACAGTGTGTGTACACCAGTGTATGTACACAGTGTGTGTACACAGTGTGTGTACACAGTGTGTGTACACAGTGTGTGTATGTACAACTGGGTGAAAACCTCCCAACTGTTTCGTGGTACAGTTGGCTTGGTTCTGCACTTCCTATCAGGAATCCCGAGTTAGATTCCCGGGCGAGTCAGAAATAATTAGGCACTTTCCATTTCGCTTAATTAATGCCTCTGTTTACCTAGCAGTAAATAGGTTCCCGGAAGTTAAACGCCTGTTGTGAGGTTGCAACAGATGCAACTTCAACTGTTGTGAGGTTGCAACAGATGCAATTTCAACTGTTGTGAGGTTGCAACAGATGCAATTTCAACTGTTGTGAGGTTGCAACAGATGCAACTTCAACTGTTGTGAGGTTGCAACAGATGCAACTTCAACTGTTGTGAGCTTGCAACAGATGCAACTTCAACTGTTGTGAGGTTGCAACATATGCAATTTCAACTGTTGTGAGGTTGCAACAGATGCAACTTCAACTGTTGTGAGCTTGCAACAGATGCAACTTCAACTGTTGTGAGGTTGCAACATATGCAATTTCAACTGTTGTGAGCTTGCAACAGATGCAACTTCAACTGTTGCGAGGTTGCAACAGATGCAACTTCAACTGTTGTGAGGTTGCAACAGATGCAACTTCAACTGTTGTGAGGTTGCAACAGATGCAACTTCAACTGTTGTGAGGTTGCAACAGATGCAACTTCAACTGTTGTGAGGTTGCAACAGATGCAACTTCAACTGTTGTGAGGTTGCAACAGATGCAACTTCAACTGTTGTGAGGTTGCAACAGATGCAACTTCAACTGTTGTGAGGTTGCAACAGATGCAACTTCAACTGTTGTGAGGTTGCAACATATGCAACTTCAACTGTTGTGAGCTTGCAACAGATGCAACTTCAACTGTTGTGAGGTTGCAACAGATGCAACTTCAACTGTTGTGAGCTTGCAACAGATGCAACTTCAACTGTTGTGAGGTTGCAACAGATGCAACTTCAACTGTTGTGAGGTTGCAACAGATGCAACTTCAACTGTTGTGAGGTTGCAACAGATGCAACTTCAACTGTTGTGAGGTTGCAACAGATGCAACTTCAACTGTTGTGAGGTTGCAACAGATGCAACTTCAACTGTTGTGAGGTTGCAACATATGCAATTTCAACTGTTGTGAGCTTGCAACAGATGCAACTTCAACTGTTGCGAGGTTGCATCCTGGGAAAGGTCGGTAGTTGAACCTTGGGGAAGACCTCGGTACAAATCAGAAGGGTCTCGGTAGGATTCGTTCTTGACGCACATTCGAGAATTCCGGGTTAGAATCCCCGGCGGGGCAGAAATGGTTGGGCACATTTGCTTTCACCTAATGCCGCTGTTCACCTAGCAGCAAGTAGGTACTCAGGGGTTAGTCAGCTTGTTGAGAGGTTGCATCCTGGGCGGGGTCAGTAATTCGACCCTGGTGGTGGTGGTGGGGGGAGGGGGTAAGGGGGATCTCGATAAAAGCCTAACGTGTATCTTGGTTATCTTGAGATGATTTCGGGGCTTTAGTGTCCCCGCGGCCCGGTCCTCGACCAGGCCCCCACCCCCAGGAAGCAGCCCGTGACAGCTGACTAACACCCAGGTACCTATTTTACTGCTAGGTAACAGGGGCATCAGGGTGAAAGAAACTCTGCCCATTGTTTCTCGCCGGCGCCCGGGATCGACCCCGGGACCACAGGATCACAAGTCCAGTGTGCTGTCCGCTCGGCCGACCAGCTCCCGTGTATGAATACACTCAGCCTTCCTGTCCCCCGACAAAACAAATTATACCTGGGACACAGAGCCAGGGGCCAGATTCACGAAGCAGTTACGCAAGTACTTACGAAACCTGTACATCTTTCCTCAATCTTTGACGGCTTTGGTTACATTTATTAAACACTTTACAAGCATGAAAACTTGCCAATCAACTGTTGTTATCGTTATAAACAGCCTCCTGGTGCTTCGGAGCTCATTAACTGTTTAATAATTGTAAACAAAGCCGCCAAAGATTGAGAAAAGATGTACAGGTTCGTAAATGCTTGCGTAACTGCTTCGTGAATCTGGCCCCTTGCAGTATTTAATGCGTGTTGTGCCTAAGAGACATATAATTTTTGTTTAGAAACTTTATGACCAAAAAATCAAGGTTTGAAAAATTCCCAATGTGTTTAGGGATTGACCGAGACTCACATTTAGTCCAATATACATCAGCAGATGATGCAAACTTCCTCTCATACACGTAAAGTCAATTGTGACTTCTGTACTGCCATCATAACTCTGTTGATCGAGTCACAGACTGCTAATTGTCAATTTAGTTCATAAATAAAACTACAATTTGGCACTTTTGAATGTGAGAGGATTTAATCGAATCCTGTTAAAATGTGCCACTGAAATCTTTCATCATATATATATATATATATATATATATATATATATATATATATATATATATATATATATATATATATACACACCTTGTTTTGTTTTCTAAGGTTCATATTTTCTAGTTTTTTATATTTAAAACATGTATCACAAAGCGATAAAGTTTATTGTGCACCTCATACTCATCCTGTGAGTGGTGGTTTGTTGTGCACCTTATACTCATCCTGTAAATGGTAGAGTAATGAAGGGTAAGGGAAGGGGTAAGGGGAAGGGGTGAAGGGTAGGGGGAGGTGATGAAGGAGACGGAAACTTGCAGATGGGGATCCCCCAGCAATACCCAGACAGTGATGATGGTTACAGAGATGAAATGATGTTTTTTCTATTCTGTTTAGCGAGGGACTGTTCTCTACCACACACCAAGCATCCATACAGACTACAAATGTGCACTAGAATGTAACTACCCATTGAAAGTCACACTTTTTTAATATAATTTTCGACGTGTCTGCCTTCAACATGGGACATAGAATCAACATTCTGGTGAGTTGCACTCTGAACTTTAAAAAAACAAGACAATAATCCAAGCTATCTTTTAAAAAAAGCAGGAGTAGGTGCAAGGCGGACATTAGGGGTGGCTTGGACGCGTGTCTGCGCAGGCGCAGGACTTGCCCGGGTGCCACGCCCCCTCTAGTTACCATGGCCTTGGACTTCGACGACGTTTTGGAATCGGTTGGGTCCTATGGCTCCTACCAGAGGTGGCTGATTGGGGCCGTCTTCGTTCCAATCTCGTTCTTCGCGGCAGTCACGGTAAGTAGCCAGTATCCATGTAGTGGAAATATATTTACAGTTACCTAGCAGTAAATAGGTACCTGGGTGTTAGTCAGCTGTCACGGGCTGCTTCCTGGGGGTGGAGGCCTGGTCGAGGACCGGACCGCGGGGACACTAAAGCCCCGAAATCATCTCAAGATAACCTCAAGATAAACTAAAGATATTCATTCCTTACACCATTACTTAAAAATAATATAAAAAAAAAAATATACCATGGAAACCCAATCACTACGTTATATGTGTCCATTAAATGCAAGTTTATTGAAGGTCAAATGCAAAATACATTTATTGTTGAGATTATTAAAATGTCATTGAGTGTAATACACTTTTATATTTAAGTTGGAATCGCTTTTTTTCTTGTTATTAATCTTATATGTAAGTTTCAAGTCGATTAGTCATTGGGCAAGGCCGTTCAAGTGATTCATGGTTAGTCAGTCAGGCAGGTAGTCACAGGAAGCCAAAACCAGAAACGAACTACTGTGTTAAACGACATGCTGGATGTTTAACGACCTGTAGGGTGTTAAACAACCTGTAGGGTGTTAAACGACCTGTAGGGTGTTAAACGACCTGTAGGGTGTTAAACGACCTGTAGGGTGTTAAACGACCTGTAGGGTGTTAAACGACCTGTAGGGTGTTAAACGACCTGTAGGGTGTTAAACGACCTGTAGGGTGTTAAACGACCTGTAGGGTGTTAAAGACCTGTAGGGTGTTAAACGACCTGTAGGGTATTAAACGACCTGTAGGGTGTTAAACGACCTGTAGGGTGTTAAACAACCTGTAGGGTGTTAAACAACCTGTAGGTATTAAACGACCTGTAGGGTATTAAACGACCTGTAGGGTGTTAAACGACCTTTAGGCTGTTAAACGACCTGTAGGCTGTTAAACGACCTGTAGGGTGTTAAACGACCTGTAGGGTGTTAAACGACCTGTAGGGTGTTAAACGACCTGTAGGGTGTTAAACGACCTGTAGGGTGTTAAACGACCTGTAGGGTGTTAAACGACCTGTAGGTATTAAACAACCTGTAGGGTGTTAAACGACCTGTAGGGTGTTAAACGACCTTTAGGCTGTTAAACGACCTGTAGGCTGTTAAACGACCTGTAGGTATTAAACAACCTGTAGGGTATTAAACGACCTGTAGGGTATTAAACGACCTGTAGGGTGTTAAACGACCTGTAGGGTGTTAAACGACCTGTAGGGTGTTAAACGACCTGTAGGGTATTAAACGACCTGTAGGGTGTTAAACGACCTGTAGGCTGTTAAACGACCTGTAGGTATTAAACAACCTGTAGGGTATTAAACGACCTGTAGGCTGTTAAACTACTTGGTAGTCCTATCACCAGAGAGCTGGTGTAGTGGTATCTATCCAAATTAAAGAAAAAACATAAATGCGTACCAACTTGACCCTTGTGCTATCAGACTCCCCTTGATATATATCTCCTGAGGATACTACACAGATCTAGTTGTTCAGATAAGTAATGGGGACGAGCCCGTGGCTCTAGTAAGAGGCATGATGGACATGGAAGTTTAGTCTTGTTTGTGTAATTTTAAAGTGCATATCAAATATTATTCTACATTGCTTATCTAATCTTGCACAGCGTACCTAGATCCCGTCTCGTGTGTGTGTGTGTGTGTGTGTGTGTGTGTGTGTGTGTGTGTGTGTGTGTGTGTGTGTGTGTGTGTGTGTGTGTGTGTGTGTGTGTAGTGTGTATACAACTGTATCAGTGTTGTATGTAGTAATAATACAACCCATCCATCTGAAATGATAGTACTCTTGTAACTACGGGGTCTAAAGTACCAATATGTAGTAATGGAGACCCAATAAGTCACATTTTTACTTTTTTGTTTTTATTAACACAATATATTCATTTATTTTTTATTTTATTTTTATTAACACATTTAGGTACATGTGCATTTGTGCAGCTGCCCTAGACTATATGAAGGGGAGTACAGTGTGTCAAAAAGCTAGCTACGTGATGCTAAAAATCCCCATCACACAGGATGGTTAGTCATACAGAGGCATGTGATAAGTAGTCTGCACTGGCAGACTCTGGGTGCATTATGAGGATATCTAAGGCAGCAGTGATACTAAAGTCCCAATCTCGCAGAGATTAGTCATACAGGGCTATAAGCTAAGTAGCCTGCACTGGCAAGGGTGCTTATGAGGATATCTTCAGAACACGAGAGTAATAAAGTAATTACAAAACTCAGGTGCCTCATGCTCACGAGTCTGAATGGTCTGATAACTGGGCATTCGGTGATGTAGTGCGGGAGATCATGCCGTAGTTCCTGCTCACAGAGTTTGCAACTGGAGTGCTCAGGATTGGGAGATCCATCACCTGTAGCCACCTGCCACAGGTAACGGTAACCTAACCTGATCCTGGCAACCACTGTGTCGCACAGTCTGGTCGACGTTTTTTGCTGACCTTAAACATAGGTTTCAGATCTGAACAAATCATAGCTTTTTGTCCAGATTAAGTACTAAAAAAGCCGACTTTCTGGCGGTCCATTACGACATATTTGTACTTGCGACTTCATAATTACTTTATTATCATTTCAAGAGGATGAGCTGTAATAATTATATCACTGTTGTTTAAACAGCTGTATTGTGTTATTTTCAGGCATTCCACCCATGTATAGTATAATCTTCAGGCATTCCACCCATATATAGTATAATCTTCAGGCATTCCACCCATGTATAGTATGTATTATCTTCAGGCATTCCACCCATATATAGTATAATCTTCAGGCATTCCACCCATGTATAGTATGTATTATCTTCAGGCATTCCACCCATGTATAGTATAATCTTCAGGCATTCCACCCATATATAGTATAATCTTCAGGCATTCCACCCATGTATAGCATTATCCACAATTAGGTTAACTAACATACCAAGCATAATGATAATGGTGCCAACAGATTGATTAGTTAAAATTATTTCAGGACAAGAGAGAAAACAAATTTGCACCTAATAATTTACTGAACTGTGGTTTCCTCCATTCACTTTTTACATTTCTTTATTTATTTATATATATACAATGGTTGTTACATTCTTGTAAAGCCACTAGCACTCATAGCGTTTCGAGCAGGTCCTTAATCTCAATTTTCCCTGGAATACGACCAGCCAAATCGTCTTTCAACTAGGTAGCCTATCCAATATTACTCACATATGATCCTAACACACACAATTCCGAGTCTACATAACAGACAAATATTACATATATATGTTTATATTAATTCACACAAGTGCTAGACACCCGAATGCAGTAAATTAACCATTAATTTATCACTAATCCTAATACTGGGATGAGCAAGATGGCAACATCTGAGGCTCTGGGTGCGTGTGGACGCGACCAGTACGTGTCTTTGCCTCTCACTTTATATCAACAAAAATATACTACAGCAATACAATACTGCAGGGTCATGTAATCTTCAATATACTATGTAAACACAACTGCACTATGCAACAATTTAGGCTGTGTCTACCCTCTACAACATATACTCCACACATCTATAGAAAAATTTCACATATGTAGTACAATGGACTATCAACATTATTTTATAATGAGAAGCAATACATGGATCAATGTTTATAATTTCGTAATCTTGCAGCATATTAACATGTATCCAAAACCGTTAAAGGTGCGTGTTATGGGGTAAGGGGTGGAATTAAAGGTTAGGTTATTCACAACAGTTTAAGGCTGAAGAAGTGTGCTTGTACCTTTGGCCACAGATGAACCTGATGCTGTTCCAAGTGGTAGAACCAGATCACTGGTGTTATGTTCCGGAGCCAACCAATACCACTCTCACTAAGGAGGAGTGGAAGGCGCTTACGATACCCAGGTAACACGCTATATAGTCTTACAGTAGTACCCAGGTGAGGTTCTTACAATACCCAGGTAAGGCACTAACGTTACTTAGATATAAGTATCTTAATGTAGCCATTTAAGGCTCTTACAATTCTCTTACTATACTCTTATACTATACTCAGCTTTTGGAATACTCAGGTAAGACTACAATATCCAATTAAGCCTCTGTCAATACCCATGCAAAGGTCTTAACAATACACAGGTCAGGATTTTACTATACCCAAGTAAAGCTCTTTTAAGATACGTTAGTAACCCTCTTACGATATTTAGGTAAGACTATCGCAATTGGCTTGTTACCATCGTTGTGGGTGAAATGCTACTATCATTAATGGGATAGACTGTCACTGCTTGTCGTGGTGGTGAAGCTTGTAAACAATTATCAAAACCAAAGACTGGGTGATACCTCAACCTCCATATATATTCTCTGAACGTTTTTGTATTTCACAACATTATGAAGGAATACACAGTTTAAAATATTAATGATTAAACTTCTACTAAAAATATTATTGTGTTTTCAACTAACAAGTTATAAGGTTACGCACTGATATACCAAACCAAAGAAAATCTATATTATCTAACTTTAATTTTTTCCGCCAGAAACCTTGAGTCGAACACTTACCACAAGTGTGCGATGTACGGGGTGGAGTGGAACGACAACAACCACACCACCTACGCCATCACTAATGAGACCCGAGGTAAGATTGATTGATTGATGATTGATTAAGATTAAGTCACCCAAGAGGTGGCACGGGCATGAATAGCCCGTAAGTGGTGGCCCTTTTGAGCCATTACCAGTATCAAGAGCTGATACTGGAGATCTGTGGAGGCGCGACTGCACCCTGCGTGACAGGAGATGTCTCCCGTGCCCGAGGTAAGCCGGGTCCACTTACTTATAGCAACCTGGATTGTACCTGGATGGGGTTCTGGGAGTTCTTCTACTCCCCAAGCTCGGCCCGGGGCCATAGGTTTGATTTGGGAGAGCTTGGTCCAACAGGCTGTTGATTGGAGGGGCCGCAGGCCCAACACAGTCCGGTTGGTCCGGCACTTCTTGAAGAACCAGATGTAATTATGGGAATCAATATCATTTGAAGGGAAAATCAGGAGAAACCTAAGCTAACATGAGTGATGAGCACTTTGGGGGGGGGGGATGTGAGGACAGGTTAAGAACCGGGATATGAAAAAGAGGGGGAAGGGAATGGTGCCCAACCACTTTGACTCGAGGGGAAAGCGAGGGCGCCGTTTCTTGCAGATCGGCCTTCAATCGTAACTGTCCAAATGGGTGGGCACCATTCCATTCCTCCGGCCTATCTTAAATCCTTATCCTCATATCCCTTCCAAGTGCTATATAGTCCTAATGGTTTTGCAATCTCCCGATAATTACCTTATCTCCCCATTCTTGAGGCAGCTTTGGTGGGCGGCGTTAATTTTATACAAGTGTCGTCTGAAATAACTCGTGTCATCTCATGGAAGGATCAGTGAGAACTATCACTAATGTCACACTCTGTGGAACTGGTGTTAGCATTATGCCCGGGTCACAGGGGTCCGAGGGTCCTGGGTATCAATCTGTCTTCCTACAAAGAACGTCGCATTTTGATCGTATGCGTCACATTAGGCCAAAAATTTGTCGTACTAGAAAATGGAAGCGGCTCGCGAAATTGACGCCATGTCCAGTTTTTCAGTTTCGGGTCCTCTGGTAGGTTGGTATAAAGGCACTTTTAAATTGACCGTTTTCTTGACGTTGAGAAACCTTAGGAGGACGGGCTGATCTATGTCTCACAGGAGGTTGTGTCCGCAGAGTGTAGCAGCGGCTGGGAGCACGACGCGTCGCAGTTCAGCGCCACGGTGGCGACCTCCTTCGGGTGGGTGTGTGAGCGGGCGCGGTACTCCCACCACGTCCTCTCCGTCACCATGGCCGGCAACACCGTCGGCACCTTCTTCCTCCCACTCATCGCCGACAAATAGTGAGTTTATATGAGTCTCCCATCAGCTCTGCTCCACCCAGTTCGTCGTCAGCCGCGACTCGACTCGTGTGGGTCTTAGCAGAAGTAACTATAAACTTTACATAAACGCCGATGAAATTATTTATTTTTCTAGTGTTTTGTTAATATATATTTGCTATTTTCTTTTGGAATTTACTTGCCGGCCATAAAACTTTAAGGAGAGTCTATAGTGCCTCACTATTGGCACTGAGGCTTATAATTAGGGATAATATGGCCCTGAAGTGTGAAACGATGGTTTATAGGTATCTTCACAATTGACCCTAAAATCTGATGAAATGACCCTGAAGCCTGAGTCTACTACACTCTTATACTGTTCGACTTTAAGGCTTGGATGGATGACACAAGCGCCTCGGTGTTGGTTATAAAGCCTGGCACTGTTGGGGCAGCTGAGGGTGCCAACACTATTGACCCTAAAGACTTGAAGTTGCAGCTGAGGGTGCCACACTATCCTGACACCTGCAGGGTCACTATAGGGGTCTCAAGCCAAACAATGAGAGCACACATCCGCTCGGAATAAAGGAAGCAGGAAATTGGGATTAATTATAGAAGCATTACCAACAATTGAATAATATCCTTAAGATTTATCACCTCTGTCTTAGACCTGTTTTATGAAGATAATTAATAAAAACTTACACTTTCCGAACAGACGAAGAGTAAGGGGCGACATGATTTAAGTATGTTAGTAGATAAAACCGTATAATAGAGCGGGAATATACAAAAAAAGTTATGAATATATCAACACAAAATAGACCACGAAACAATAGATATATCCTGGATAAGTTTTGATTCAGGAAAGACTTGGAAAAATAATGGTTTGAAAATAGGGTTTTTCATATATAGAGTAAATTACCGGATGACAAGATCAACGTGGAATGGCCATGTGGTTTGAAGCGTAGATTAGATATATATGAAATCACAGTAGCTTGACATATCTTCAAAGAAAATCTTTTTGAGCAGGGCGGTGGAATCCAACCAAAGATTTTCCTCGTGTACGAATTTGTGTGCATATAAATTGGAACTGCCTCGTATGGGCCAACAAACCCTTCTGCAGGGTCCTTAATATTATTATGTTCTTAAGACTTACTGTCACCAATGAAGATAGAAAGTCTTCTAACGTCTTCTAAGATAGTAAGATAGTAAGTCTTCTAACTTCTTCTAAGATAGTAAGTCTTCTAACTTCTTCTGAGATAGTAAGTCTTCTAACTTCTTCTGAGATAGTAAGTCTTCTAACTTCTTCTGAGATAGTAAGTCTTCTAACGTCTTCTGAGATAGTAAGTCTTCTAACTTCTTCTAAGATAGTAAGTCTTCTAACTTCTTCTGAGATAGTAAGTCTTCTAACTTCTTCTAGGATAGTAAGTCTTCTAACTTCTTCTGAGATAGTAAGTCTTCTAACGTCTTCTAAGATAGTAAGTCGTCTAACTCTTATGTCTTCTACAGCCTGGGGCGGAAGAAAGTGTTCTTCCTGTCTCTGGCCATCCACGTCGTCTTCACCATCTCCTACATCTGGGTCTCCCACATCGGCCTACACCTCGCACTCCGCTTCTTTCAGGGACTCAGCTTTGAGACTTACTACCTCATGCCTTACATTATCGGTAAGTCTTCACCTCTTGTGTCGCTGGTAACTATACCTCTTGTGGTACGGGGTCAGGAGCTATACCTCTTGTGGTACGGGGTCAGGAGCTATACCTCTTGTGGTACGGGGTCAGGAGCTATACCTCTTGTGGTACGGGGTCAGGAGCTATACCTCTTGTGGTACGGGGTCAGGAGCTATACCTCTTGTGGTACGGGGTCAGGAGCTATACCTCTTGTGGTACGGGGTCAGGAGCTATACCTCTTGGGGTACGGGGTCAGGAGCTATACCTCTTGTGGTACGGGGTCAAGAGCTATACCTCTTGTGGTACGGGGTCAGGAGCTATACCTCTTGTGGCACGTCGCTAGTAACTACCTCTTGTACCCAGGTAGGTACAGGAATAGACTACTTCTGATTTCTCTTAGCAGGCTGAGAACTTTTCGCTTCCCACTGCTCATGGTAAGTCTTACTTTCTAGTTTTCCCTGGAATATGACCAGGATATCGATTAATAACCAGGTATGCAATTATCGCTGGGTGAACAGAGACGAACATTTTAAAGATTGATGTCTAGTCAAACTTCCCCGGCCAGGACTCGAACCCAGAACCAAATTGCCGGCAAGGCGTGCTATGGTGCGTCATGTGCTGCGTCTCAGTAACTATACATCTTGCTTCACTCCCTTGTGTGTAAAAACAAAGCTTCCACACCTCCCCCTTCCTCTTCTCCAGTCCTAGAGATGATACCTCCAGAGAAGAGAGCCGTGGCTACAATGTATTCCTTCGTGTCCTGGACCCTCGGCATGTGCTTCACGGCGCTGGTGGCGTGGCTCCTGCCCCAGTGGCAGTACCTCGCCTTCCTCTCCTGCGTCCCTTCCATCGTCGGCTTCTTGTATTGGAGGTACGTTGTCTGTTCATTGCATCTATCCGGGCCAACAGGGACGGATACAAGTGACATCTTACACAAGATGGTCTGCCAAATGACTTTAAAACCTATTTAAACTTATCTAGCCTAATATAGCCTAACTCAAAGGAGCCTAACTTATTACCTTGCCTAAGGTAATATATCCTAACCTAATGAATATACTGTTTTTGGCAATCAGAAAACGAGCTTTGTCGAACGGTTTGTGCACGAATATAGCCACTTGGAGAAAGACAAGAGGCATAGTCATTTGCCTTCTGTATATGCAGTGCTGATTATTCTATGGAAATTACGTCAATTTCTTCTTTGGGCGCAATTCAGATGTTAATACAAGTTTCTCGTTTGTATTTACTAGAACTTTAAGAATTACAAGCCCTAAGTTCTTTGATGAGGAATTGTAACATTTATTTTCAGTTGATTGTAACTTGGGGTGTACTTTTTATTTTAGGTTTACCGGAAGAGAAAGAAACACGTTTAATCGGAGTAATATATAGGATTCTAAGTAACTTAAAGTATCCTAATCTATTTAAATATGACAATTTATGACCTCGACTTAGCTAATCCAATAAATATAGCTTAGTCTTACCTTCCAGCAATCTGTCTTCTTACAAATTGCGTCTGAATTTGGCCGTTTGCCCGTATGGCCGAAAAGGGACATAATTTTCAATTAAAAATAATTGAAAATAAATTTTGGATTTTTGTTTTCCAAAACAGCAAGTTAAGGGTCCTCTGGTAGGTTAGGAGGGCAGGAAGTTCTCCTAAGGTTTCAAAACGTCATGAAAACCGTTAATTGAAAGTTTCCTCTCCTAACCTAACCGAGTAAGCCAGAGGATGAGTCACAATAACGTGGTTAAATTATGTTGACCAGACCACACACTAGAAGGTGAAGGGACGACGACGTTTCGATCCGTCCTGGACCATTCTCAATCGACTTGAGAATGGTCCAGGACGGACCGAAACGTCGTCGTCCCTTCACCTTCTAGTGTGTGGTCTGGTCAACAAGCCGGAGGACTCAAAACAGTAAACGGAACAGTACGCCACTTTCGTGAGCCGATTTAATTTCAAATCACATCCATTTTTGGCCATAGCGCGCATACGAGCGAAAAGCGACGTTATTTTAAAAGGACGGGTTGTTTAATACCACTACTGTAGCCTACTGCCCAACCACAAGCCTACTTTACATCTGGACATAGCCCAAGAGCCAAAATAACCTTGATGTATATACACACAGAGACACAGAATACAACTCTCGGTGTACATAATCCCTTGCCACTCTGGTGATTTATTTTCATTTAATAATGTAGTTCGTCCTGATGTCATGGCTGGCTGTGGGCTGCTTGCGCCCTCCTGCTGTTGCACAGGAAATGGCTCGTTTGCTCGAGTGCTGGTCAGCTATAGCTGCCTCGCCAGCTGCTTCTTTATATATGATAAACTTAGATATCATTCAATTTGCTTGAAATTGTCCCACTGAAGAAAACATGCACACATCAGTAGGTACAAATAAGGGAAGTGACACCTAACGGGGTTGAAGAGGTAGCTACCTAGCTACCTAACTACGGAGAGGTAGCTACCTACTTACCCTGCTACGGAGAGGTAGCTACCTACTTACCTGCTACCCAGGCCCGGGTTTGTAGTTTTAAAACCCCTGGTGGATTAAAACAAAACATTTGTTGGTCTTTGCCACATCTGACAACACATGCAACATCTGCTCGGTTCTTATTAGAAGCTACTGTTTGTTCACTACATCTTTATTTCCCCTTAAATCGTATTGACAGATATTGAAAATATTGTTTAATGGAATGGTTTAATCGTACACAAAATGATTCAACAAGATTCGTTTTCTGATTGTTAAAATCGTACACAGTGTATCGTTCCGTTAAATTGTATTAACGGAGATTAGGTTGTGTTAGGCTCCGTTAGGATGGGTTAGATTAGGTTAAGTTAGGTTGGGTTCGGTTAGATTGGGTTTGTATAAAGATCAGCGATGACATAGAGGAGTGCATATATATTGATCAGATCTTCGACTGTGCTCTAATGAAGGCGTGTAATGTGGTGTGTGTCTGGGTTCTGCAGGTACCTGCCGGAGTCGCCTCGGTGGCTTCTGTCCAAGGGCCAGCTGCAGCAGTGTTCTGACATCCTGCTGGAGGTACGTCCTGGCCTCACCTGCCTGCACTGACAGGATGTACCTCTAGGACTCCTGCTTCCTGCTTTCTAGGACACCTCTCTCCTGCACGTTAGGACACCTCTCTCCTGCACGTTAGGACGCCTCTCTCCTACCCCAAAATATTATCAATAGAGTTTCTTGCTTCTTTCCTGTACCTCCTCAGTTGGGGTTCCTTCCATATCTCACAGAAGTTTTCCATTAAGTTCTCCCATCTCAGACCATTTTCATTAGGTTAACTTTCCCTTTTTCAAAAATATTTTGCTTTTGCTCCATCTCCCTCCCTCCCTCCCTCCCTCCCTCCCTCCCTCTAACTCCATCCTTAAGGTTTCTACCAAATGCCACATTGTTGATTGATGAAGATTTAGTCACCCAAGAGGTGGCACGGGTATGGGTTGCCCGTAAGTGCCACGTAGTTATTCCGATAATATATATATGGACGTCCTAAGAACTCAAATTAGAGATCCAACTCCTTTCCCCCATTGCTTTTTCTGTCGGGGTCATTCCGCGGAACGCCTTCCTAAGGGTTTTAATCCCTTATCTCTTAGAATGCCAACCTTTTTCCACAAAAATTTCCCTGTTTTACGCCTCTGTTTGCGGTGAAAAGTGATTTATTTAAGATTGTGATTTATAAAACACCTGATGTGACTATATACATGACAACACCGGACGGCCCAGCACGTGACACAACACCTGACACCCCCAATATGTAACACAACACCGGACGGCCCAGCACGTGACACAACACCTGACACCCCCAATATATGACACAACACCTGTAGTAATATAATCTGACACCCTAGGCATCTGACAATCTCATTACGATAAAAATAAAGTGTGCATCACATAACTCTATTGAACCATTACTTCCAACTTATTAAACTTTGTGTGTTCATCTATACAGAAAATAAAGAACACACACACACACACACACACACACACACACACACACACACACACACACACACACACACACACACACACACACACACACACACACACACACACACACACACACACACACACACTCTAATACGTGCGTGTATTGCTCTGCAGGTCGCCCGTGTCAACGGCACTACGAAGGTCTCTGGCCAGCATCTGGAATCCGACCTGAGGGACCTAATGTTGACGCAGCCGCAAGCGGTTCCTCTGACCCACGCCTGCGCCTACCCCAAGCTCCGGCTCCGGGCCGTCCTCCTCTTCATAATGGCGTGTGTGTCTTTTCTAGCAACATCCTGTCCCCCGTCCTCATTACTCAGGCTTCCTCTCTCACTCCCTTACCCTTTGGAGTAAGGGAGTGAAAGAGAAAGCTTCCTCCCTTCCTCTCTCACTCCCTCACTCTCTGTCTCCATCACTCCCGTCCTCTTTTACCCTCCCCCCTTCCCTCTCTTCCTTTTCTTACCTCTGGTATCCCTTTTCTCTGTTACCTTTGGCATCCCTTTCATTCCTTCCTGGCACCCTTCCACTAGCAAATTTTGGATAGTGGGGGACGGATCTGTCTTGGGGGACGACCGCTGGTATAACAAGCCTTGCCTGAGGACGGGATGCAAATGGTTGAGGGGGGTCCTATTACCTGATGCCTCTGTTCACCTAGCAGTATATAGTTAGCTTTTTGTGGGGTTGCGTCTTGGGAAAAGTTTAGTATTTCGACCATGTAGAGACCTAGATATAAGTCTAACATGTATATATACACTGGCTGCCTCGATACAATGAACTATTCGTATAAACAGATCCTGTCTTACATAAGAGATCCCTCTCTTACACAACAGATCTCTCTCTTACACAACAGGTCCCTCTCTTACACAACAGATCCCTCTCTTACACAACAGATCCCTCTCTTACATAACAGATCCCTCTCTTACACAACAGATCCCTCTCTTACACAACAGATCCCTCTCTTACACAACAGATCCCTCTCTTACACAACAGATCCCTCTCTTACACAACAGATCCCTCTCTTACATAAACAGATCCCTCTCTTACACAACAGATCCCTCTCTTACACAACAGATACCTCTCTTACACAAGAGATCCCTCTCTTACACAACAGATCCCTCTCTTACACAACAGATCCCTCTCTTACACAACAGATCCCTCTCTTACACAACAGATCCCTCTCTTACATAAACAGATCCCTCTCTTACACAACAGATCCCTCTCTTACACAACAGATCCCTCTCTTACATAAACAGATCCCTCTCTTACACAACAGATCCCTCTCTTACATAAGAGATCCCTCTCTTACACAACAGATCCCTCTCTTACACAACAGATCCCTCTCTTACACAACAGATCCCTCTCTTACACAACAGATCCCTCTCTTACATAAACAGATCCCTCTCTTACACAACAGATCCCTCTCTTACACAACAGATCCCTCTCTTACATAAACAGATCCCTCTCTTACACAACAGATCCCTCTCTTACATAAACAGATCCCTCTCTTACACAACAGATCCCTCTCTTACACAACAGATCCCTCTCTTACACAACAGGTCCCTCTGACATAAACAAAACCGTGTTTACGTCTGCAGGTACTGCATGTTCGTGGTGTACGGAGTGCTTATGCTCGGGATCAACGTGATGCCCAGCAACTATTTTCTCAGCCACTTCATACTGTCGGCGTCGGAGCTGCCCAGCAACGTCCTGGGCTGGCTCATCACACACTACCTGGGCCGACGGTTCATGTGCTTCATCACGTACCTCCTCGCCGCGGTCTTCGCCGTCGTCGCCACCTACTGTGTCCACGGTAACCTCGCCTTGCTCCTTCTCTCTCTCTCTCTCTCTCTCTCTCTCTCTCTCTCTCTCTCTCTCTCTCTCTCTCTCTCTCTCTCTCTCTCTCTCTCTCTCTCTCTCTCTCTCTCTCTCTCTCTCAACGGGGATTCTAAATTGCCATCCAGCCTAATGTTTACATTCCTAAACCACTTTGCAACCTGCTGTTTACATTCTTATATCCCCTTGCACTCTGTTGTTTATATTCCTTTATCACCTTGCAACCTGCTACATCACTTGCTGTTCTTGGAGAGCGAGACAGAGGGAAGCCTCCCACTACATCTTCCACTGTTGCAGATGAGTGGCTGCTGATGTCGGTAGTGGCGATGGTGAAGCTGCTGGCCACTCAGGGCCTCTACGTGGTCTTCCTCATGGCCTCGGAGATCTTCCCCACGCCCATCAGGACCTCCGGCTACGGCATCACCATCGTCTTCGGGATGCTGGCCATGGTCGTGTCTCCCTACATCCTGCATGTATGTATCCTCTTTGTGTCGTAGTCACTACGTGCGTAATTGTTTACTTTCTTCTGGATCGGGGAGGGAGGGAGAGAGAGAGAGAGAGAGAGAGAGAGAGAGAGAGAGAGAGAGAGAGAGAGAGAGAGAGAGAGAGAGAGAGAGAGAGAGAGAGAAAAGTGGTAGTTGAACAATTCTTTCTTTACACACCAATAAGAACAGAGCCGATCTGACGATCGGGTCTGTATATCAGTTTACTTCACAAGATTACAGTATTAAAGTGTGACAACTGTGTAAAGTTCATTTTATATTATTATGAAGAAATATTGACTGAACCTAAAATGTAGATGGAATATAGAAAGGCAATATTAACATGCTGTGATAATTAGCACACTGGCACATGAATGGCAAATTAAGCATACTATGGCAGGTATGCTGAGCGTGGTAGGCATACTACTGACTCCCTGAGAAGTATGCTTGACAATTTCAGTATTCTTGACAACCTGGGTAGGTTTGATTGATAGTGCCAGTATGCCTGACCACCTGAGACACACGTGCAAGGTGTCATGGGCGGTGTCATATTTGTCATGGCCTCATTTTTGTATTTGTGTTACAAATATAGAGTTTAGAGCACTCTGTGTAGCGTCTGAGGAATGCTTTGGTTATCCTTGTTTTACTGCTTAGTTTTTTTGGTATAACCAAATATCAATTCGCTGTAATTTCTTGATCAATCAGATGATTTAAGACTCTCACCTCAGACTCTACGAGACTGAGAAATTTCACTGCACTGCGGAAACAAATGTATGAATATAAATCATATTTTTTCAGCTCAATTAATGATTTCCTCAACAACTTTAATCCTCCGTGATGATCATATGATTTGTCTGCATAGAATGTTATCACAAAGTGATTGAAAATCAGAAACCCAACCTACACATTTGAGAGGAAGGCGGCGACGTTTCTCCCTTCATAAGGGTGCAGGATGGACCGAAACGTCGCCACTTTATTTTCATCTGTGTGTGGGTTGGGTTTTACTAATTTTTAGGTTCTTGCCTGAGTAGTGAATATGCTTTCAGTCAACCTTCGGACCGGCCTTCCAGTACTGGGTGATGGTGGTGTTGTCGTTGGTGTCGTTGCTGGCATCCATATTCTTGCCAGAGACCTTGGGCTTGCCGCTACCCCAGACCTTCCAAGAGGCGGAGGACCTGGGCGCTGGACGGCCCTTCACCGCCTGGGTTCACCACTGGAACCAACACAAGTACCCGCCACACGCGTCCTCGCGCCCCAACGCCTGCTGCCCGGAGGAGCTCGACGAATTGACAACGAAGAAATTATAGATATTTGTGACCCGTAATCACACATAATCACGCTTAACCAAATGGGGGATGTGATAGGCCTGTTAAGAAAGGCTTACACTCAAATCAGAGATGCGATAGTCTTTTTTTTTTTTTAGACGTGATTGTATTAAAAGGGGGGGAACTGAAGAAAGCCTATTGGCCTATACGAGGCAGCTCCTATTTACATCCAACTAAACTAATTCACACATGTCTAACCTTCTCTTAAAACAACCTAACGATCCTACGTCTATCTTACCCGGTAATTTGTTCCATAAATTAACTATACACCTATTTCCAAAACCTCATTAACCAGCATGTTTTTTTAAATCTGAACTTGTTCCAATTTTAGACACCCGACCCACAATTTTGAAAATAAAGAAATTAAGTTTCGGTCCACCCTGGACCATTACCAAGTCCCACGGCATGCTAATGGTCCAGGACGGACCGAAACGTCGACAGTTCATTTGTTTTCAGATATGTATTCACCTAGTTGTGCTTGCGGGGGGGGGAGGAGGGGACCCGCCAAACACACAACGAAACTACGACGTTGGTACAACGTTCGAACAAGTTTTAACACCTCCTAACCAGTTATAACAACCAATATAGCAAGTTGTAACAACGTTCTAATACGTCATAAACACGTTAAGCCAAAATGTAACAACTTTATTACAAGTTGTAACAAGCGGAAAATAGAGACAGTTTCGGTTTGTGTTTCCAGGGAGGGGTTGGGCTTCGGCTCCTTGGTTCCGATGTGTGGGTTGGGTATCTTGTGTTCATTCACGCTGCTGTCACTATCTTTTTCATCCATTTGTATCCATTAATTTGTGTTCTGTTTTCATATATTAACCCTAATCACATCCATTTTGTTTTACCCCTTCATCTGTTTGTGCACTTCAATTATAACATCCTTACTTCGCCTTTTGAAATAATATAAGTTAAGCTTTCTTAATCTCTTTCTTTTCATTAGCGAGGGTTCTAATTCCTGGAATTATCCTTGTCAATTTTAAATACACATTCAAGGGAATTTCTGTCCATTACATAGTACGGTGTCCGAAACTGAGCTGCCAATTACGGGCTATTCATGGCCGTGCCACCTTTTGGGTGGCTTAATCTTTATCAATTACTGAGCTGCGTAATCTAAATAAGGAAAACAGGAGTAAGATAAAGCTGGAAAATAATGCAAAAATTTGGTTTTGTGTTAAGCTTAAGACCTATCAACTACCTGAGAGCTGTTAAAGACTCCCCAGCGAGTATACTTCAGTCCTATCTTGAGGTTATCTTGAGGTTATCTTGAGATGATTTCGGGGCTTTAGTGTCCCCGCGGCCCGGTCCTCGACCAGGCCTCCACCCCCAGGAAGCAGCCCGTGACAGCTGACTAACTCCCAGGTACCTATTTACTGCTAGGTAACAGGGGCATTCAGGGTGAAAGAAACTTTGCCCATTTGTTTCTGCCTCGTGCGGGAATCGAACCCGCGCCACAAAATTACGAGTCCTGCGCGCTATCCACCAGGCTACGAGGTCCTGGACATAGTTCAAGGCTAAAGTATATTCTCATTGTTTATACTCTAAGAAGATGGGTATATCTCAGTGTATATTTCCTCTTGATTATATATCCTTCTGCTTCTTGAAGTGAATCCCAGAATCCTTTTGTCTTATTCCGTACTAATCATGACACTTTTTTTTTTATTTAATTTTACCATCGCACAGTTGATATCTGGTTATCATGACCTAGTCTCAGAACTTTCCATATATCAGCTTATCTAAAGATCTCTCAAAGTCCTCTTGAAGCTGTTTGGAATCGTTCTCTTATATTTCCTTCCCTATTTTTGTATCGTTTTATATCTTCGTCATATATATTTTTTAATTCCTCCGTTTTCTTTTAAATAAAAAATTAACTTTGGCTAACCCACAGCCCCCCCCCCCTTCCCTCCTCCTCGAATACAGAGTGCTTCTTCCCTTCTAGTGAGCTTTACATGTGGGATATTATCCAAGGAGTTTGTGCAAGTTACGGTATAGAATGTCGCAGTCCTCTCCACTGTCAATTTCTTGAGATTTGGTGGAAACTAATGAGAATTTTTTTAAACCAATCCAATATTCTCCTACGATAGACATGAAGCTAATTGGCTGATAGATTACTGCACGTAATCTGTCTTCATAAATCAGCAGCACATATGTAATACTCCACGATTAATGTACTCCATTTGACTCCAATACTTCATTGAATATGCAAGACATTGGTTTAATACGCTAGGCTTTTACTTTCTTCAAGGACCTCTGGTAAATACTCCGTCTGGCCTTGAGGATCTGGACCGTCTGGATCATTTAGATATTCTGTTAACAGCTTCTTCCCCGGTAACTGTTCAACTAGTTAACTACTCCTAAGCACCATTTACACCGGTTTGCTCAGCTGCAGGTATATTATCGTGTTGTTGACCAGACCACACACTAGAAAGTGAAGGGACGACCACGTTTCGATTCGTCCTAAACCATTTTCAAGTCGATTGTCCCTTCACCTTCTAGTGTGTGTGGTCTAGTCAACATACTTCAGCCACGTTATTGTGACTCATCGCCTGCACATTATCATGTTCTTTTCTTCGTAAATACAAGGACAAAGTACTTATTTAGAATACCACACACACATTTCTTTGTTATTATCAGTTGCCAGATCTGTCTCGTTCTTCAGTGGCCCAGTGTTCTACTCGATCACAGTCTCGTATATCTGAAAGAATCTTTTAGGATCTGTCGTTATCTGCCCTGCTATATGTTCTCCATACTTCATTTTAGCTTATTTCATTGCAGTCACTGGTTTTGATTCATTCAATTTGGACACGTTAATCATAGTAATTTTTCAGGCCTCGTATGGATCAGTTAGCTTTTTAAATTCCTTATCTATTTTATGGTCTGTCAAGGCGTTTAAAATGTTGCTTCAGGATGTTGACCAGACCACACACTAGAAGGTGAAAAGACGACGACGTTTCGGTCCGTCCTGGACCATTCTCAAGTCGATTGAGAACAATCACAATCGACTTGAGAATGGTCCAGGACGGACCGAAACGTCGTCTTCCCTTCACCTTCATGTGTGTGGTCTTATGTATGACCCTCTGTCCTGCGTGACAGTGAATACTAGCATTAACCTCAATTTAATAAGACTATCAAAATCCTCAGATTAGGCAAAATTGTAATTAATTTTGTCAATAAAGATGTTAATAATAATAATTGTGTGGTCTGGTCAACATTCTTCAGCCACGTTATTGTGACTCATCGCCTTGCTTCAGGATTCCTCACAGCAGAGTTCCTCGTAAGATCAACAGCGCCTTTATGTTGTATACCCCAGTTCTCAAGACTCCTCCTGTAGGAACCTCCATGGAGCCTCACAACATCCCTAGGCTCTGAGCTCGGCCTCCCAGCGACGGTGATCTTCGCGGTGAAAGAATATTAAATTGAATCCGTGGAAATAAAAACAAATGTATTCAGAGACTTTGGCTGTTGTCTTTTATACCACTCCTCACTGGAAGTCGCCCTTAATATAATACATTCGTGTCTTTAACTGATTTTATCGAGATAAATGATGCATGCTCGATTTTTTGCATATTTTTAAGGGGTTATTTTGAGACTGGTCTCCAGCAACAGGCTCTCATATGACATACATTCTGTTGGATATTCATTAAAATAATGTTTGGGAGAATATTGAAGCCAATACTGAGTGTTGGGAGACGTGCAAACCAGAGCTACCCACAGCTAATTTCCTTAGCTGGCGGTTGTCCAATTAGATTCCGTCAATGTTGTTGGTTGAGGGGCGACGACCATCGAGGGATCGGATGCGCCCGGCGTCCGATCGCTCGATTCGATCCGATCCGATCCGTCTGCAACCCCGCAAGGAGACTAACTCTTGGGTACTTATTTACTGCTAGGTGGACAGGGGCATTAGGTGATACCAAACGCTCTGAGAACCGAGTCGAGAACTCGCAATATGCTAATGTATATAATAATATTAATTTATATTTGAGAAAATCCCTGTTTTTAATAAACAGAATGTAAAAAAATATGAATGCGTCTGTGGGGTTGACCGCTGGATGGAATGGACTTGCTCTGAGGACGAGTTGTACTACTGGGACCTTAAATACTAATTTAATACCAGAGCTTTCTGGCATTTTTTACTTTTCCTTGAACCCGATGCCTCTGTTTACTTAGTAGTAAATAAGTACCTGGGAGTTAGGGAAATGGAACACAGCACCGCTCCTGTGCCAGGTAAGTCCACTACGGGCTCACCATAGCCCGTGCTACTTGGAACTTGTTCCGAGTAGCTAAATCTATAACAACAACATAGGGAAATGGGTTGGATCCTGGGGATGTATAGTCAGTTGTGGCTAGGTGAACCAACTCGTTAAGCAGACCAACCTAGGGCATCCTACCCCTGAATGTTATGCTAATGCAGCTAGTAATGGAAATTGGGCTGAAAGCATTCTCTTGATTTGTCTTGGGAATTGGAATGATTAAACTGTTGGTCCAAAAGGTAGGAAGTTCTCAAGTAACATAGCTCATATTATACAGCTCAAGAAGGGGTTTCCCTGGTTCTAAAGGGTTAGTGTGCAGGGTACGAAAGGTGGTGATGCACACTCCTTCCATGCACGAGGCCATATATCTGGGGGGATAGCGTGGTTCTTATTCTATGGAGGTTATCTTGAGATGATTTCGGGGCTTTTAGTGTCCCCGCGGCCCGGTCCTCGACCAGGCCTCCACCCCCAGGAAGCAGCCCGTAACAGCTGACTAACACCCAGGTACCTATTTTACTGCTAGGTAACAGGCGCATAGGGTGAAAGAAACTCTGCCCATTGTTTCTCGCCGGCGCCTGGGATCGAACCCAGGACCACAGGATCACAAGTCCAGCGTGCTGTCCGCTCGGCCGACCGGCTCCCTGGAGGAGACGGTTTAGGACCCTTATAAACTGTGTCAACTAAATTGTTCGCACACCCCTCGTCACTATGCGATGGCATGTGAGAAGATACGTGAATTAAGACACAGTTCAATAACAAATGTTCCAGAGATGTGTAAATATTTCATTGACAATGATCTGCTACCAGAAATCTTAGCCAAATATCCCCAGTGTGCTAACAGTAGGTAGTAACCGAGTGACTGTAACCTATCCACCGCTGCCCACTGGATGGGGGGCGGTGTGCAGGACAAACATATCAATTATGACACTAGCTCTCCACATAT